TGCTGACAGCTGTACCCGATAACCGTCTACAGTTTCTAGTATCCATTTATCTTTGGTTAGTTTTCTCCACTCATTCAACGCCATTCTGGTTTTCCCCGCCCGAAAATTGAGTGAAGTATTTATAATGGTAGAGGAATATTTCATATTATGATTACTTACTTCGGATATTAATTTTTCTGTGCTCTTGATTGGAAAGTATTCTTTTTCTGCTGTTTTGTTCTGTAATTGTGATTTTGACGTCGTCGCTGTAGACTGAAATTCATGTTGCCCTGTGAATTGAGCGCATGTTTCCGTTTGTGCTGAGGTACCAGGGTGGCCATGCCCTGGCGTTTCCCTAAAAAAGAACGTCTGGAAGCACATGTAAGTTGCTGCTTATTGTCCCTTAACTTTTTAAGTTCTTCATCTACTTTATCGCCAAACAGATGAGTGGCAGATTGGTTTGCTGAACAAATTGGCCTATAAAGCGGGAGAAGTTCTTTCTTTATCCTGTCACGTCTCATCTGAGAAGTAGTGACAAAGGCATTGGTTAACAGTTTGAAAGTATCCCCAATCAACTCTTTCATTTTTGGTCGTCCATCTGTCTTTAACTCATCCATGGTCTTCAATACCGGTACCAAAGCAGACGAAAAAATTTCTGTGTCCTCTGCAACAGAAAATCCTGTGCTTTGACTTGAGATGGCAACTGTCGCCACAACTGCTCATTCACCAAAGGTACTTGTAGAAATTCTACATTGTTAGGCCTCTTGTGTGTGTCCAAAAGTTCCTTTATTTTTTCTTCTTTCGGTTTTACCTGTAAAGCTTTATTGCTCAAAGTGGCTAGTTTGTCACTTATCGCCGCTCCTGTTTCTGAGGCATCCTCGAAGAAATCCACCATGCAGAATTCATCATCATCATCATTTCCGTCGGTGACCCCAGATTCGGTGAAAAAATCTCCCACGCTTTCGTCATCTGAGCCTGAATCATCCCTCGTGCAAAACCGTTTCGAAGTTGATGTTTCTTCGCAGGTAACTGCAGGTCTTTTCAAAGAATTAACGTCAGACCTCATTTCAGTCAGAGAATCCGTTAAACCTTTTATTGCATTTTGGATGTCTTCTAACTGACTAGAAGATCCTGCAAGTGTCCCGAATTTTTCAAATATATTGGGAATATTGGACTGGTTGTTTCCGACCTCTTGATCGTCGGCCATGATCCTGAAAAATGTTTTTTAAACATTTCTAGCGGCAGTCCATTTAAGCAATAAAATGAAGTAGAAACATATAAACGATTAGAATTTTAATCGCAGTCAGACGTAAATAACGCCGTCAAATAGATCTCTACATTAATCATTAATTCGTCCCTCTGTGGTATGCAAAACGCCGGATTTTTTATTATTATTATTATATTTATGTATGTCATGTTGCATGAACACGCCCTTTTACAAACAAATATATAATTTGTCTGTAGTGTTCAGACCATTTTAGCTTTTCCATGGTGTTTGGATAAGCATAATTACGAACAAATGTATCTTTCGTCTGTGGTGTTCAGACAGTTTTAGCTTTTCCATGGTGTTTGGATAAGCATAATTACGAACAAATGTATCTTTTGTCTGTGGTGTTCAGACAGTTTTAGCTTTTCCATGGTGTTTGGATAAGCATAATTACGAACAAATGTATCTTTTGTCTGTGGTGTTCAGACAGTTTTAGCTTTTCCATGGTGTTTGGATAAGCATAATTACAAACAAATGTATCTTTTGTCTGTGGTGTTCAGACAGTTTTAGCTTTTCCATGATGTTTGGATAAGCATGCTTTCATTACGAACAAATGAGTCTTTTGTCTGTGGTGTTCAGACAATTTTTGCTTTTCCATGGTGTTTGGATAAGCATAATTACGAACACTGTATCTTGTTTTGCCTGTGGTGTTCAGACATTTTTTTTCGTATTTGGCAGCAGTGTTCAGACAAAATTGGCTAATAAATATTGTTGTTATAAAATGTATAACTACAAATGTATATATTGTCTGTGGTGTTCAGACATCAGACATATACGAGTTTTGTTTGTTTTCTTTTTGTATTTGACAAAAAGGTAAACGATTTTAAGTATAAACTTAAAATAAATATATACAAATAAATTAAACATGCCTCTTATCACACTTTTCTTAACTGCTTAATTAATATCCACAAATGAAACACTTGTTAGTCCTAAATAATTACACTATAATAAATAATTTAAACATGTGTAAAATACGACAGGCTTTACTTTAATTAAGAACAATTATACGTCTTGACCGTAGCTGCTAATGCCTCGTTATGACCACTGGCTGCTGATAGCTGCGTCTTCTCTCTGTGGGGCCCATTAGTGAGTTTATATGTAGGATGAAATTTCAATTACACCTTATATATTGGCATCTTCGTAACAAGCATGGCTGCCGTGTCTATTTCTAGTGACATACTGGGTTTTTCCAATGTCATAACATTGCCCTGCAATGGTCGTAGTTCTCTTGCTGATTATTTAAAGATTAATTTTAATTCACGACTTTTGAAACACAATGTCCGGTAAATTGAGTTCTTTTTTCCCTCTTATAATGCCCTACTTTAAAGACGCATTTCTACGTTCAAATGTTTGATTTTATGTTTGTTAAAGTAAAGTTTACGTGTATTAAGAACCCAAAATTATTTGGGTAAAATTCCTTTTTTTTTTATTATTTTACATAAAAGATACATATAAAAAAACATCATATTTTGTCCGGTAATATGTAGGATCCCAGTATTATTTGCGTCCTTTTAGTCGGAATTGAGACGTTAAACTATCATTTCTAATATTTTCTCAAGATAGAAAAGTTATTAATGCGGTATGTGCATCGAAAAAGCTTTTTAGCAACACGCAGTTACAATACAACAAGAGGGCCATGATGGCCCTGAAGTCGCTCACCTGTACATAGGCCCCCGGAGCGGGGCCAGTTTAAAGCCCGGGGCTTTTATTTGAACAAACTTGGTAGACAACCATTAGAAGATGTTTCATGCTAAACATCTAAGGTCTAGCTCGTTGGGATTTTTAAAAGAAGATTTTTTTAAGTTTTTTCTATACACATATAGTTAAAAACAATGACACACCTGGGGAAGGGCCAGTTTTGACCCCAGGGCTTTTATTTGAACAATCTTTGTAGACACTTACTAGAAAATGTTTCATGCTTAATATCTAAACTCTAGCTATTCGGGTTTTTTCAAAGAAGATTTTTAAAGTTTTGCTATACTCTATAAGGAAAATCAATGTCCCCCAGGGCGGGGCCAATTTTGACTCCAGGGCTTTTATTTGAACAAACTGTGAAGACACTCACTAGAAGATGCTTCGTGCTTAATATCTAAATTAGCTATTTGAGTTTTTTCAAAGAAGATTTTTCAATTTTTGCTATAGTTTTACACATACATGTATAGGGAAAATGAATGACCTCCGGGGTGGGGCAAATTTTGACCCCAGAGCTTTTATTTGAACAAACTTTGTAGACAATCACTAGAAGATGTTTCATGCTTAATATCTAAACTCTAGCTATTTGGTTTTTTCCAAAGAAGATTTTTTAAGTTTATATAAGGAAATTTGGAAAATCAATGACCCCCAGGGCCGGGCCAATTTTGACCCCAGGGCTCTTATTTGTACAAAATTGGTAGACATCTATTAGAAGATGTTTCATGCTAAACATCTTCACTCTAGCTCTTTTGGTTCTTTATAAGAAGATTTTTAAGTTTTTACTATATGCATATGGGAAAAAATCAATGACCCCCTGGGGCGGGGCAAATTTTGACCCCAGGGCTTATATTTTAACAAACTTGGTAGACACCCATTAGAAGATGTTTCATGCTAAATATCTTAGCTCTAGCTCTTTGGGTTCTTTAAAAGAAGATTTTTTAAGTTTTTACTATATGTATATATGGAAAACCAATGACCCCCTGGGGTGGGGCCAACTTTGACCCCAGTGCTTTTATTTAAACAAACTTGGTAAACATCCACTAGAAGATGTTTCATGCTAAATATCTTAGCTCTAGCTCTTTTGGTTCTTTAAAAGAAGATTTTTTTAAGTTTTAACTATATGTATATAGGGAAAATCAATGACCCCCTGGGGCGGGGCCAATTTTGACCCCAGGGCTTATATTTGAACAAACTTGGTAGACATCCATTAGAAGATGTTTCATGCTAAATATGTTAGCTCTAGCTCTTTTGGTTCTTTCAAAGAAGATTTTTAAGTTTTTACATTATGAATATAGGGAAAATCAATGACCCCCTGGGGCAGGACCAATTTTGACCCCAGGGCTTATATTTGAACAAACTTGGTAGACACCCATTAGAAGATGTTTCATGCTAAATATCTAAGCTCTAGCTCTTTGGGTTCTTTAAAAAAAGATTTTTTAAGTTTTTACTATATGCATAGACCCCCTGGGGCAGGGCCAATTTTGACCCAAGGGCTTTTATTTGAACAAACTTGGTAGTCACTCACCAGAAGATGTTTCATGCCAAAAATCTAAGCTCTAGCTCTTTGGGTTTTTTAGAAGAAGATATTTTAAGTTTTTTCTTTTGGTTGCCATGGCAACCAAAGTTCTGCATGGAGTTAAATTCTTTGAATAATTTTGAAAGGTGACCACCAAAGGAACATTCCTGTGAAGTTTGGATGAAATTGGCTTAGTGGTTTATGAGGAGATGTCATTTAAAGTAAAAGTTTACGGACGCCGGACGGACGCCGGACGAAAAGCGATCACAAAAGCTCACCCTGTCACTTTGTGACAGGTGAGCTAAAAAGTGCAGAGTACCCGTTCTTACGCACTACACTTCTTAATGAGATCTATCATTCTATGACGTTTCTCAAGTCGATATTTTTTGTAGTTTAGGAGAAATGGTCCCAACAAAAATTAAGTATGAAAATTAGGGCAATAACTCCCTGATAAATGTTACCTCCCTACGTATTAATATGTTACCTCCTTTATTATGTTTTTTAAAACTGTAAACATAACTTTTAAAGTAAAAATACAACAACATCCACATTTACTGAATTTTATTTCATGTCAATAGTTTCAGAAAATAAATAATATACAACAGAATTTAGTGAGTTTCAACTCACTGCTTTTATTGAAAAAAAATAAACCCACCTTAAGCCAACACGACTTGAACCCTTACAATGATTAATTTTGTCACAAGAAATTTAATGTTAATACACCAGATTTTAAAATTTAAAATGCCAATAAATATAGGTCTCAACTTTAGACATTTGCTAAAAAATTATGAATTCGGCTATAGAAATTTAAATCAAGGGTTTCATTCCAATGTTTACCAAGTATTTCATTCCAATGTTTACCAAGTATTTCATTCAAATGTTTACCAATATTTTGATCAAATTTTGTTTGAAATTAATCACAACAGCTTGACTTAAAAAAAAAATTTCCAGAGGGATAAACCCCGAAATATAATGAGAATATGAGAATTATTCTAATCTTATAAATAGTAAATTTTACTGGCTTTACAATAATAAAACATGGGGGATCAAGGTTTCCAAATACATTTACTAGTATTATAACGAGATTAATATAATAATATTATACTAGTTTAAAATCAATTTCATTACTGTAAAAAGAAAGGACAAGAGAAAGATGAAAGACCATTCAAGAAAACAACATTTACAGAGATATAAACAAAAAAATTGTTAAACCAAGCTTATTAATATACCGTGTAACAATGATCATTTGATGTAAAACTTGGAATGCATCAAAATACATAAATATGTTTAGTAACAGAACAAGAGGGCCATGATGGTCCTAAATCGCTCACCCGAGTCAGAATTCTTGTTTATTTGGGTCTTTTTAAGGTTTTTTTGTTTGTTTTTACTATATGCATGTAAATAAATCAATGACCCCCTTGGCAGGGCCAATTTTGACCCCAGGGCTTTTTTTATTTTCGAACAAAATGGTAGACACTAGAAGATGTTTCATGCTAAATAAGCTCTATCAGTTTCGTTTTTTTAAAGGAAGCCTTTTTTTTTGTTTTTTACTATATAAATATAAAGAAAATCCATGAGCCCCTGGGGGAAGCCACTTTAGACCCCAGGGCTTTTATTTGAACAAAACCATTAGAAGATGTTTCATGCCAAATATTTAAGCTCTATCTCTTTGGGTTTTTCAAAAGAAGCCTTTTTTTGTTTTGACTATTTTAATATAAAGAAAATCAACGAGTCCCCGGGCGGGCCAATTTTGACACCAGGGCTTTTATTGGAACAAACTTGGTAGACACTCACTAGAAAATATTTCATGCTTAATATGTAAACTCTAGCTATTTGATTTTTTAAAAGAATATTTTTTAATTTTTTGCTTTATGTACATAATGAAAATCAATGACCCTCAGGGTGGGGCCAATTTTGACACAAGGGCTTTAATTTGTACAATCTTGGTAGAGATCCACTACACAATGTTTCATGTCATATATCTGTCCTCTAGCCTTTGTTAATTCAGGTCTTTTAAAAAAAAAATTATATGCATAGAAGGAAAATCAATGACCCTCTGGGACAAGGCCAATTTTGACCCCAGGGCTATAATTTGAACAATTTTTGTAGAGCTTCACGAGATGATGATACACACAAAATATTTGAGCTCTAGGCAATGCACTTTACAGATTTTCTAAGTTTTACTATATGTACATAATGAAAATCAATGACCCCCCAAGGGGTTGGGGGATATTTGGCATGAAACATTGTGTAGTGGACATCTACCAAGATTGTTTAAATTATGTAATTGCCAAATATCTTACTTCTAACCTTTGTCAATTAAGAGGAAAGATTATTTAAGTTTTTACTATATAGTCTAACTTCCCATAGCAACTCATTGATTTAAACAACTTCCTGTCATATACGACCCTACTTCAGACCGCCCAACGTTAATCACTATGTAGTCACTGAATTAAATGACTCTATCTGACAACTAACGACCTTGAATTTTGCGTCCCGTAGTTCATATATAGCTTTATTTAACAACTTTTTGTACATTTGTCACGGTCAATATCAATTGGAATAAGATGTTTTTCGCACTTAACACATTGATGAACACAACAACGCTCGAGGTATCAATCAAGTCAATTAGCAATTATCGTGTATTTTCACAGCTCTCTGACTTATATCTGAGCTGCATCACTATAACATTACATACGTTCCTGTGATGTTGGCTGTCATAACAAGAGGGATCATTTAGTGCATATTGAGTTAAGGGAATTTTTTTTAGGATATTTCACTTTTTGACAAGGACTCTGAGCTACATTTGTACTTCTGTGCAAAATAAAATAATGCTTGATTTTCATGAAATGAAAGATGACCAGACAAGTAATTTCACGATTTTTATAAATGTTTTAATTAAATTAAAGACTTAAACTAGTATTTATTTCATGTTCCACATTGTCAGATCAACATTTCAAATATTTCATGGTTTTCATCTTATAAACATGATAAACAAACATGTTAATTTTAAAATAAACATGTCAACATCTTTATTGAAAACGCTTTACTGTAATTAATTGAATTACACAAATTATTGTTCAACAAACAAAACAATCAAAGAATATGCAAACTTTCATAAAGTAAAACAAACTTTTTATTGACCTGGATTAGTAGTGACATTTTTTGGATAGTCCAATGGAAGGTCAGATACGACAAGTTTGACTGTACATGTAAGGAAAATCAAAAATTTGAACAACTTTTGTAGAGTTTCATGAGATAATGCTACACACAAAATATCTATGCTCTAGACATTGCACTTTCTTTTAAGATTTCATTTCAAAAATCTATTTTTAGCCCTTCTGACGGAGCAGAACCATTTGAACAATTTTAGTAGAGCTTCATGCTAGGAACATTCCAGGAAAATTTCATCAAATTTGGCCCAGTGGTTTCTGAGGAGTTTTTGTATATAAAAAGGATGACAGATGCACAGACACACTGACGGACGATGAACAAACTGTGATCATACAAGCTCATCTTGAGCTACTAATAGGAAAAATCAAGTAAAATTTAAACATTCAACCTTGAAGGTAAAGGTCATTTATGAATGAAGGTCCAGACAGGTCTACTTGAAGGCCTTGTCCCAAAGGTGGTAGAGGCCAAGTATGAAGACAATACACTAAGGACTTAAAAAGTTATGATCGAGGTTAAAGTTTGCACACAGCAATGGCAACATGACTGTAACAATTCCTCTTTTTTCATTATTCTTTTTTTCCAAAAAAAGTAATTTAGTAAAGCTAAAAATGATGACACATTATAACCATAATCATTTTGAGCAAAATTGAATGGTCTTGTTTTGTCTTTTTTCAGTTTATATAATTTTGAACACCTAAACTTTAGGCCTGGACCCCTAACTTTCTAGTTTGTCCATCCACTCGACTCGTAAATTATTGAAGTGATGTAAAACCCAGCTAGACCTGAGAAAGGTCAAATCTGTAGATCAAAATATCAATATAACTCCTGACATACAAAATAATAATGTTTAATATTAATTCAGCAACTATATTTATGCTGAAGAAAAAAAAAAACAATACAGCTTTTACATTTGAAGATATAACTTAACCAAATGAAATTGTAATGATAATTAAAAGCAAAAACTTCTTACACTTTATGTTTGTTTAAACCCTGGCTCATATTTATAAGAAAATCTCAATACTAGCACAAAACAGAAGATATTCTTTACAAGTTCATAACATAAGTTTTCACATATATGATCCTCATTTACACATGTGGAATTTTTTTATATCCATTATAACAATTCCATTTATTTCTGCATTTCTGATATTTATCTCCAAGACTTATCCAACAAAATATACACAAGTTATTAAACATATAGCTTTAATGAATATATATTGATCATTTAGCATTTTTTAGTTGGTTTGACATCCAGTCAAGTCCTTCATAAAGTCCATCTCCACTAGTAGCACATGTTGCTTGAATGTACCAGTTTCTGTTACGTAAACTGTGTAACCCCAATTTATCTGTTATCTCTGCAGCATTCATTGCATTTGGTAAATCCTGAAATGAAGATGTTTCATATTTTGTAAGAATTTTTTTTAAAAATATTTTTTTGATTGGTGCGCACAAACACAGTATGGGTCATATGGCAACATTCCAGCTTTACTGCCTCTCTGTCCATTAGAACCACAGATGTTCCATAGGCAAGCTGGATAGCTTTCTCACTTGTATGGCTCAAACCTAGTGGTAAGAGGCAAGTGGTTTGAAGTCAACTACCTTAACCATTTGGCCAAGAATATTAACAATACAAGCAGATCTAAATGCAGTTCTCAAACCATAACTATCACTGAAAGTGATAATCACTGCCAACAGCTTTTATTCCTAAATTAAGAACCACTACAAACAAGCAATTATCATAGTACTGCAAGCAATCCATCAGTCGCCTACCGGTTAGAAACCCAGCAACATTCTGATGGGCCATTGGCCATTCAATTTTACCAGTGAATGTTTGTTTGTTTTGGGTTTTATGTCACATCGACACAGTATAGGTCATATCACAACGTTCCAGCTTTACTGGTGGAGGAAGACCTCAGGTGCCCTTCGGTACATTATTTCAGGCACGAACTGGCACCTGAGTAGAACCACCGACGTTCCGTAAGCTAGCTGGATAGCTTCCTCACATGAAAGAATCCAAAGTCCCTGTCCGGAATCAAACCCACAGCGGTGAGGGGCAAGTGGTTTGAAGTCAACGACCTTAACCACTCGGCCACAGACGCACCACCAGTGAATGAATGACATGAATGAACTTAAATCTTTTGAGTTCTAAGTTTGTCTATATCACAGTAATAGGAAATTATGTTGATATAACCTTGTCATATTATTACGATGTGGGATTTTAAAGTAAATCCTATAAGGAATGAAGAAGTTGGAGTAAAAAATACCAATTTCTCGAAAAAAATCTAAGTTCAAGGGGAACATAATTCTGGAAATAGTCTTGCTAGAGTATTTAACCTTCTCAAAAATGTTGAGTGATAATAAGAAACATAAATATGAAGTTTGAAGTAGATACATTAGGAAATAAAGAAGTTATTTAAAAAAGACAACATTTATTTTTCATAAAAATGCTAAGGTCAAGGGAGGTAATACTGATAATTTTTGTGCTAGAGTTGTAAACCTTGTCACATATGATGTGGTTGATGACCAAAAACTTATATTTAAAGTTTGAAGTAAACACCTTAAGAAATAAAGAACTTATAGTGAAAAAGCTGAAAAATTTAAATCAGAAATCTTGAAATTAAGTCTATTTGTTGCCATAGCAACCAGAATTTTCAACATAGGAAGAAAAGAAAAAGATGTGCATAATTTCCAGACTGCCATCTACCCATATTTCAAGTTTCATAAAAATATTTTCAGTACTTTTTGAGATATCACTGGATCCAGTTTATGTGTTAAATTTGCCATATTTTCAGACTATTTGTTGCCATAGCAACCAGAATTTTCAACATAGGAAGAAAAGAAAAACACGTGCATAATCTCCATACTGCCATCTTTCCATATATCAAGTTTCATTAAAATATTTTCAGTACTTTTTGTGTTATGGTGGGATCCAGTTTTGTGGACTGACAGACTGAAAAAAGTCATGCTATATTATTGAACTTTCACATATGTTGAGTGATAATAAGAAACATACATATGAAGTTTGAAGCAGATACATTAAGAAACAAGCAATTATCATAGTATTGCAAGCAATCCATAAGTCCCCTACCGGTTAGAACCCCAGCAACATTCTGATGGGCCATTGGCCATTCAATTTTACCAGTGAATGAATGACATGAATGAACTTATATCTTTTGAGTTCTAAGTTTGTCTATATCAAAGTAATGTGTAAAGTTTCCCTGCCTAGTAAGGAAATTATTTTCATACAACCTTGTCATATTATTACAATGTGGGATTTTAAAGTAAATCCTATAAGGATGTGTGACCTTGACCTTGGTCGCAGGGACCTGAATTTTATGCACGGCACTCAGCCTCACAATGATGAACATTTGTGCCAAATTATATTGAAATCCCTCTATGCATGTAGAAGTTTTGCTCCAGACAAGCGTTTTTCTATGAGCTCTAACTGTGACCTTCACTTTTGACCTAGAGACTTGGTTCATGTGCAGGGCACTACGTCTCATGGTGGTGAACAATTCTATAAAGTAACATTAAAATTCCTCCATGCATGTAGAAAATATGCTCCGGACAACATCTGGATATTTAATCATCTCCAGTGACCTTGACCTTGCAAATATTAACCTAAATTAAATGTGTCACACCTGTAGTCATGATAGTTACCATAGCTACAATCCATCAATAAATGATGACTAAATGGTCCCTATACACATCTTCAAATTTTTATCTGAACTTTGACCTCTATGTGTAACATTGACTTTGGTCGCAGGGATCTGAATTTTGCGTGCGACACTCAGCCTCACAATGGTGACATTTGTGCCAAGTTATATTGAAATCCCCCTATGAATGTAGAAGTTTTGCTCCGGACAAGCGTTTTTCAATGAGCTCTAAGTGTGACCTTGACCTTTGACCTGGAGACCTGGATCATGCATGGAGCAATACATATCATGGTGGTGAACATTTCCATAAAGTATTATAAAAATTCTTCCATACATGTAGGAGATATGCTCCAGACAAAATCTGGATATTTCACCATCTTTAGTGACCTTGACCTTGCATATATAGACCTAAAGTACATGTGTCACAGCCGTAGTCATGATAATGACCATTTGTGTTACAATCCCTCAATAAATGATGATTAAATCGTCCCTATACACATCTTCATATTTTTATCTAAACTTTGACCTCTATGTGTGACCTTGACCTTGGCCACAAGGACCTGAATCTTGCGCGCGACACTCCGCCTCACAATGGTGAACATTTGTGCCAAGTAATATTGAAATCCCTCTATACATGTGGAAGTTTTGCTCCGGACAAGCATTTTTCAATGAGCTCCAAGTGTGACCTTGACCTTTGACCTAGAGACCTGGTTCATGTGCGCGACACTGCTCCTCATAGTGGTGAACATTTCTATGAAGTTTCATGAAAATCCCTCCATACATGTAGGAGAGCTGAACTGATATTTACTTGAAAATTAAAATATAATTAAATTTCTATGAGAAAGTATTTACATTTGATAAGGTAATTACTGTATGATCTTTATGAACAAATACCAAGTCTACAGAACACCATAGTTATCACAGTTAAGAATCTTGACCAATGAATGAAACATGTGTAAATAAATGTTACATTCTTTAGAACATACTCAAGTCCAAGAAAGAGGATTATTTTATGCCCTTTGATTAAATTCTATTTTTAGAATTGAAAGTGAAAGTAGATCAAGGGGAGTAATTGTGTAAGTCATTTATGAACAAAGTAATAACTTTGTTGTCGCACTTTGATTAAATTCTATTTACAAAATCTGGATATTTCATCATCTTTAGTGACCTTGACCTTGTATATATTGACCTAAATTATATGTATCACAGCCATAGTCTTGATAATGACCTTTTGTGTTACAATCCCTCAATAAATGATGATTAAATCGTCCATATACACATCTTCATATTTTTATCTGAACTTTGACCTCTATGTGTGACCTTGACCTTGGCCGCAAGGACCTGAATCTTGCACGCGACACTCCGCCTCACAATGGTGAACATTTGTGCCAAGTAATATTGAAATCCCTCTATACATGTGGAAGTTTTGCTCCGGACAAGCATTTTTCAATGAGCTCTAAGTGTAACCTTGACCTTTGACCTAGAGACCTGGTTCATGTGCGCGACACTGCTCCTCATAGTGGTGAACATTTCTATGAAGTTTCATTAAAATCCCTCCATACATGTAGGAGATATGCTCCGGACAAAATTGGACGCCGCCCGCCCGCCAAGGGCGTTCCCATAATACGTCCCGTTTTTCAAACGGGCGTATAAAAAGCTGAAAAATTTAAATCAGAAATCTTGAAATTCAGGCTATTTGTTGCCATAGCAACCAGAATTTTCAACATAAGAAGAAAAGAAAAAGATGTGCATATTTTCCAGACTGCCATCTACTTATATTTTAAGTTTCATAAAAATATTTTCAGTACTTTTTAAGTTATCACTGGATCCAGTTTATGTGTTAAATTTGCCATATTTTCAGACTATTTGTTGCCATAGCAACCAGAATTTTCAACATAGGAAGAAAAAAGAAAAGATGTGCATAATCTCCATACTGCCATCTATCCATATATCAAGTTTCATAAAAATATTTTCAGTACTTTTTGCATCACTGGATCCAGTTTATGTGTTAAATTTGCCATATTTTTAGACTATTTGTTGCCATAGCAACCAGAATTTTCAACATAGGAAGAAAAAAAAAAGATGTGCATAATCTCCATACTGCCATCTATCCATATATCAAGTTTCATAAAAATATTTTCAGTACTTTTTGCGTTATCGCGGGATCTAGTTTTGTGGACTGACGGACTGACAGACAGACGGACAGACAGACGGACGGAGGGTAAACCTAAAGTCCCCTCCGGTTAAACCGGTAGGGGACTAATAAAGAAGTTATTAAAAAAAAAACACTTTTTTTCATGAAAATTATAAGTTCAAGGGAGGTAATTCTGTTATTTTTGTGCTAGAGTTGTAAACCTTGTCTCATATGATGTGGTTGATGACCAAAAACTAATATTTAAAATTTGAAGTAAATATCTTAAGAAATAAATAAGTTATAGTGAACAAAAGGGCCATGATGGCTCTGAAGTCGCTCACCTGTACATGGGCGCCACAAGTGGGGCAAGTTTATAACCCAGGGCTTTTATTTGAACTAACTTGGTAGACACCAATTAGAAGATGTTTCATGCTAAAAATCTAAGCTCTAGGTCTTTGAGGTTTTTAAAAGAAGATGTAAAGTTTACTACTACACACATATAATGAAAAACAATGAACCCCCCCCCCCGCGGGTCCAATTTTTACCCTAGGGTTTTTATTGAACAAACTTGGTAGACACTGGTGTTTCATGAT